ATCTTAAACTATGTAAAGGATTATCCAAAGTTTATCCAGCCCTCACACAAAGTAGAACCCAAAACAGAGCCTTCTTGCATTCAATGCATACTTTTTAAATAAGAAAAAGATTTGCCCCTGAGGCAAATTAGCTGAGTGGTCTGGCACTGCTTCAGTATGCTATCATGTCTTGCTCTCTTACATATCCAAGTTCCTTTCTCCCAGGTTGCTTAGAGCAGAAGCAAGACTAACCCCATGAACAGGTAGCTTATCCATTGTCTAAGGCACTAGTCTGCAAAGTGGGGTGCACATAGCCCAGGGGGAGCATAAGACAATCAGTCGGAGTGCAAGAAGAAAATATTTTTTGTATCATTAATAAATAAAACTAATAAAATAAAATTATGCTTAGTTAATCTTTATTTTATCAATTTTTAATTTCTATATTTAGATATGTTTTACAATGTACTTAATATATTAGTACATCGATGTATTTTATAAATAAACACATCTATTGAGCGTGCATGCTGAAAAATATTTTACTGACTATTAAAAACTAGAGAATACATATAATGCTTGAAAATACCTTCATCCATAGACCAAACCTAAAAAAAAATACAGTTCCAGGAACTGATATCTCTCCAGCTTGGCTGAATTTAAACTATAACAACTCATGACTTTAGGAAAATACAGAGGCACTACACCTAATTCCATCATACTACAGGTTTAGCTTAGCTAGCCATCATGCCATGCCCTTTTAATTGCTCTTGATGAGCCTGTGCAGAAAACTGAATTTCTCTTTAGCACAACAGCTATCCAAAAGTCTGAAATAAACCATTCAAGAATATTGAAACCATTTACAGAATATTTTGGTTGATCACAGGGCTTCCATTTACGTTATAACACAGAGAACAAAAGGTCAAAATGCGAACGTTTGAAAACTCTGATGATGAGAAAAGTAAAAAACCCTTCTGTTTCCCCAGTATGTGACATTCTCTAGACTCTTTTTTGGGTTCATTTTCATTATCTCAGAATAACTAGTTTCTGAGAAGGATCAAAACCACAAGTAACCTCAGAAAAATGTTTTGGCTTTACAAAATAGACTAGAAATCTAATGGGAAGAATTATTATTATTATATAACTTTCATCCAAATCTAACAGATACAGGTGGCTTGTATCATTGTTAGAAACATTAGATTAGCCTTCAGTTTCAGATGCTTTATATTAAGTTACCCTTAGGATGTGAGGAAATATTCTTAGCTTGGTTTAAATCTTTGGGAATTTTGCCATAGACTCCAAGGGGCCCTTACCTTCTACAATTTTGCCTTAACAAGATATCAGTGTTTGCCAAAACCTGCATCTTGATTTATTTGCAAAATACTGCTAAAAATATTTGGCTTAACATATAATGGGTTCAAATTTTCAGGTGGTATAAATCAGTGTAGCTGCAGAACTATGCCAATTTAACTCACCTGAGGATGTACCAGTGGGTTTTATCCTATTTTAAGATCATTCATTGTAGTAAAGTAATTGTTTTAAAATCTTCCTGCTTTTACACAGCAGGCAGTCACAGTGGTTTCACCCAGGACTACTGCATTTTTGTGGGTATAAGCTGCAAATCAAACAAATCCATCCTTTCAAAAATGTATTATTCCTTGAAAGTAAGTACAAAATCTACATTTTTTATTCAGTCCTGGCAGCAGTCAGCAATCAGATGCTGTATTTAAATTTAGACAATATAAATGCAAACATGTCTTTGCAATATTGTTTACAATAGACAAACCTTGAGTAACAGTGGTTCATTTCTACTAAAAAGGTGATACATATTAGCCATTTTCGAAATTTTATGTGTTACTTGTTAACATCTAGCCACATCTGTGCAAGATCCTCTTTCAGCCTCCTTTATTCAAACAACTGAATTAATTTTTATTTAATGTAGCATTTGTATGATAAGAGAGAAATTTGCCAGTTGAGGATTTGTGCATTTAATAGAGTAGTTGAGAGAGAGAAAATAGAAAGCCTTAAGAGATAGAAAAAGAAAAATAAACACCTTAACACAACTGCAACTGTGAAGTAACCTCTTCCCCCTGTTAAATTCTATGGGCATGTACTTACTCCATGATGCCGCACAGTAGAAGAGGGAGGTTCTTCTACCTAACCCATAAGTACTTAAGAAATGTTAGGAAATTTTGGTATTTGCCTTATTTAAAATAATATAAAGCATTTGGAAGTAAAAGATTAAGCTGGGAAAGAAAATTCATGTAATTAATAATAATTGATGATAATTGTGAGCTCACATTGCTGCAGTGTTGTTGGACTAAAGTTCATATAATACAAAATACCATAAAGTAGAAAAATAAAATCAGAAGACTGTTGCCTAACTTTATGAAAATTAATTTATCAGGTAGGAGTTTACAGCATGGAAATTTCTTGTTGATTGTTTCACTGGAAAAGCATCTTGACTTTGGATAAACCTTTATTACTGTACTGTATAAAAGCACTATGAGTTTGGATAAAAAAATAGATGTGTGAAAGCTTAAAACCTTTCACATGCCCATTCTCTCTCTAAGATTCCATCTAGCAAATGTTTCTTCAGAATTTTAGCAAAAGGTACGAGTGACCAACAAGCAATTTCTTTTACTGCAAAACTTGTTTCTTCAGCTTCCACTCTGCTATGCTCTCTTCTGAGTGCAAGCTCTTTTCACTCAGAAAAAAAACACATGACGTCAAGTAAGTATCCAAGTCTGTAACTACACAAGTGATGTTTGACATAAATTGTTGAAGATGGCCAACTTTCCATTGGTTTCCATGGAGTAAGGATTGTAAAATATCATAGAATAATTTGGGTTAGAAGGGACCTTTGAGGTCATCTAGTCCAACCCCCCTGCCATGGGCAGGGATGTCTTCAACTCGATCAGGTTGCTCAGAGCCCCGTCCAACCCGGCCTTGACTGTTTCCAGGGAGGGGGCATCTATCACCTCTCTGGGCAACCTGTTCCAGTGTTTCACCATCCTCATTGTAAAAAACTTCTTCCCTATATCTAGTCTGGATCTATCCTCTTTTAGTTTAAAACCATTTTCCCTTGTCCTATTTCTACATGCCCTGCTAAAAAGTCAGTCTGCATCTTTCTTATAAGCCTGCTTTAAGTATTAAAAGGCCACAATAAAGTCCCAAATATTTCCCAAATTATCCCTGAAATAACTGCTAGCTCTCCTGAAGCTACAATAGCAGTAAGTAACTTCAGTAAACAAGTACTGACTGACGAAATGATGGATAAACATCATCACTCTGACTGTCAACAGAGGTTTATTTGCCACTAAGTTTCACATATCTGAGGATTTATGTGGCACATACAGTTCTTGCTGAAATCTGTGAGAAGCTAAACACCAAAACTGCAAGTTAGGCATGCTCCATCCCTTTTTTTGAAGGAAGACAAATGGAGACAGTTTGATAAGAGATGAGAAATTCATGCTCCAAGGTGAATTTTTAGTGTAAATCAGCTTTTCATCTCTTAGTACATATACATGTTCAGTATCTTAAGTGATAATCCATAATGCAGAGTGAGTACCTCACTCATTTGACCCTATCTCCCATGGTCTCCTTCATAAAGCAATCAAAATCTACCTAAAAAACTAATCAGATTTTCTGCCCCATTACTAGTCCTTTAGAAGGCTGTTACTTTACTGCTTTAATAGTTGGAAAACGCTCTACTTCTCCCAGGTGAAATTCATTTAGGGTAGTTCATACCTATTTTTATTGCACCAAAACTGTCACAGAGAAAAAACGTTTCTCTTCCTTATGGTCTCAGAGGAGACCTTGTCTTCTCTTGGCAAGTAGCTGCTTTCCCTGATACATTAGTGCTAGCTAACCTCTGTTATGTGTATCTATTCTCCTGAACACAGACAACCAGAATTGAACCCACAGTTCTAGATAAAATCCAGAAAAAATAATAGGGCTATCTAAAATGGCATGAATGTTTCCTTGTCTACCTTGTCTGCTCTGTTCCTGTCTGTCAGTCTGACCCATCATACCTAGCTATATACGTTTTTGGGTCACACTTGCCATTTTTACAGCCACAGAAATTGGACGGCTTACAGTTAATCCTACGATTGACTTCTTTGTAGAACACAACATATAATTGTATATGGTATAATAACATATCATTCATATTTTTTCTTTATTATACCTTGCAATTAGTTTTTTTCATGTCAGAGGGTACCAATGTGTGTTTCATTCAATATGCATTTCAACACTGATGGGTATGTTTAGTTCAGAATTATTGTCTAGATGTTTGTCTGGATGGCTAAACTGAAATATTTTTCAAGGTACAAAAAATCTGCCCACATTATTTTCTTGTTTCTGGCTCTTTACAATAGCTGACAGTGATTCATAATTCCATCATAATGTGCAATATCACTAAACCTGCTACACCTCAAGTTATTCAAGCATATTAAAAGTCTACTGACTTCTGTGTAGCTCAACTATTCAGAGATACAATGTCATGCTTATAAAAAGTGTGAAAAAAAAATGAAAAAAACCTAATATGCACCAAGGTTTGTTTCTACAACAGAGAAGAATAAAATAATATTATTCTAAGGTAAACTGACAAGTGTACTCTTGGACAAAAAGTAAGCAGATGATACATTTTTCAGACTGACTTGAAGATAGAGGCCAAATTCCAATGGATTTTGCTAGAACAAGGATTATGAAGTATAGTCCAAGTTACTCTGGACGTATTTGCTGACTTCTCTGGTATTACAACAGCAAGAAATAATTCCAGTAATTCAGTTTGACTGCTTTAAACTGCTAAGAAAAATGAGCTTTACTTTCTCTGACAACATCCCAAGACCCATATTTACATACATTGTTCTGAAGTCAAAGACTTCAGTCAGCGGGAAATCAATATAGTGATATCCAAAAGATACACTGTTTTGATATAGGGTAAGAAATTGCTTTCTAATTTATTGCAGTGAGTAAAAAAAAGCATTGGAATGCATGAAACCAAATTTATCTATTTCACTGACCTTGAAGCTGGCGTCCTTTGTACAAATCTTTTGTTTTGGTTGGGTGGGCTCTGGCACCGTTATCACACTTAGGTTGTTCATACCTAAAGAACAAACAGGGAGAAAATAGAACCAGGCAAGGCTAATTTGATTTAGAACTAGTTTATTTTCAGTTTTTCAGTCCAAATTAAACTTGTACTTTCTTTTATTCAGCAAACAAACTTGTTTTTCATTCAGAAGGGGCAATGTAAATTCATCTGCCTATTTTCCACTTACCTCAAAGAAGCCAGCACATCTTTATTCTCTTGGGGTTGATATCAGACTAAAATTTATTATCTATTCGAAAGCCTATTCTACAGCAAGGAAAACTGAGGAAGGAGAAAACTAGGGAATTGCTATAAAGTAATACATAATAAAAGATAATTTTGGAAAAAAAAACAATAAAAAACTCATAAAACCAAAACCGAAGTGAGACTCTCCTCCTGCCATAAACTGTATAACAAATTCTGACATCTGACACAGTATCCATGTTGGAAAACACCAGAGAAGCAATTTCAAAATCACAACAAGGCAGGTACTGTAGTTAGTTACTACTGCAGCTCTAAAGCCATGTGCTACTTCATCCTCTTCAACAACAACAACAAAAAATACTACCTTACATAAGAAGGGCTAACCATGAACAGCTAATATTTTTAACAAGAGCAAAGAACTGATAGAGTTTCCAGAAGGAAGGGAACTGAGATGAAACTGCTTGAAATGGATTGTGAAAAAGGCTGAATCTCTACCTGCTACTTGAATATTCTTGTTTCTCTATGCTTTCTGAATTTACTTAAAGTCACTTTGTTAGTTCACCTGGTAACAAGAAACTCTGTGCTATTTGTACTTCCAACAAACACTGACTTATGCAACACCATTAGCAATGTCTTTTATGCAAGACTGGGAGGCACAGTAGCATCTGCTGCTGAATCTCTCTTTTTTTCTTATGTCCCACTATCAATGCATGGTGGGTTTTCACTCAGCTTGACAGAATCCCTTTCTGAGAAATTTTACTGTCTCATTCTCCTAAAGTATCCTGAAGCTGCAGCATTCAGTGTGTAGCATTTCAGAGAAAGTTTAAGTTCTCAGCTAAACACACTTAGTAATGTGACTTGTGTCCACATACATGTGTGTGCACATACATAACTGTTCACCAAATCTAGGTTCTTTCAAATTTTATGTAACTGCTCATCTTTCTTTGAAATTTTCCTATTCTAAGTTCCCCAAAATAACATTTATTGAGTGGCATAGTAAAATGTCTAATTAAAATATACTAATCCAAATTTTTGGAACAAAGTATTATTTTTTAAAGCATTAAATGGTGGCTACATCATGAGTCCAGGCCAGACTGCCCCTAAGAACAATGCCCAAGTATTCTGACTTTAATTATCAGGCAGGGAAAAAAAAAAAAAAAAAGCCCAATATTATTTTCACTTTGAGTACTTAATTTATTTACACATCATCTGATGAAACTGCCCACTGGCCCATCAAATTTTGGCTCCTGCAAGAAGGTACAGTGTTGTTTTCATGGACATGGGAGAGCTACAGGCACTTTTTTTTTTTTTTTTTTTTTTTTTCTTTTTACCTAAAGAACAGCAGGAATAGAAGCTGCTTTGATAGAATGGGTTGGATTCAGATACCTGATGGATGACCACATCAATCAGCCAAGAAAAGAGTGAAAGGGAAATCTCGGAGCAGTACTCACTAATGCAGTATCTGGCAACCAGCCTGGTCCCCGATTAATCTGATAACTGACTCTGCATTCCCCTTGTCCTCCTCTGTTACTGTTATTGCTCTGTGTCTACTCTTTCTTTTTTGGCCTCTACTCTTCTAACCTCTTGGCTTGTATTTTTGTTAAATACACAGTTCATCATATACTAACTAAATCTATTAAAGCCCAATAGGTGTTAAAATGTTGCAATGGGAAAAGTCTATGTTTAACTCTTTGAAACAACTGAAGAAAGAAAATGAATCATTAGAAATTTGCCATACAGAAATAGCCATGCTAAGAACTGATAAGAAAAACACATTTGCCTCAGTTTTCACGGGGAAAGAGTGAGAAAGGGATAACATGTCAGAATGGAGCACTGTCAGGTTAAAAATAATGTAGTCTAAAGACATCCCAAGTTACTCTTTTGAATTTTAAAGGGGAAAGAATCCCTAGCAGTGAATGCATATCTAGAGTCGGCAAGGACTGATGAAGGCTGCTTTACACCTCTGAGCAGTCTGCTAGGAAGGACTGAGATATACTGAGGTGTACAAAGCAGTAGAGAATGGAGGCTTTTACATGGTTTCTACAGCATGGACAGTCTCACAAAGCAGCCGATTTATGTTCTTTTTTAAGTTTATAGAATCTTGTACAAGTGAATTGGGGATTACTTTGACCACGATCCTAGTTGCAAAAAAGTCACATGTGAGAACAGAGGCTCATGGCCCTGCTGAGCAAAATGTCTGAGGGTCATGCTATGATGTCAAGGAGGCATTGGGAGCCAGCTGGTGAGGACCATACTGACAGACTTTTGGGGGAATGGTTGTTTGTAACTTTATGTCCATTTAGTCAAGTGGAAGTTTCCTCTAGGGTTTCATAAAAGCCATCTTTATACCACAACTTCACCTATTTCTTGTGAGTTTTATTGTCCTAAATGTCCTAGAGTGGTTCTTTGTTCATATATCTTTATTTTAACACTAGAATGAGATTTCTGTTTTCTGGGATACTTTCACTGACAAATTATTTATCTTTTTTTCAGGTGACAGGACATTAGAAGGTGAATGAGTATTAATAGCTTCCCTTCATTTTGGGGGTCTAACTTAATGCAACTACTAATTATTGCAGTATTCATAACCTGATGATGTGATAAATTTTACCCTCATTAATGTATTCAAAACAAACAATATGTAAAATGCTAAGCTGTTCTGGCATCAGCTTCCCAGATTTGTCTATCCTTTCACTGTTGTCCCCTTGTCATTCGATCCAGATTTGCAGAACAGACATTCCAAGACACAGTGCATCCATACTGCTACAAGAAGTACTAATGCTATCAGTTCCTGTAGTAAAGCTTTAACAGCTACTCTTCTAATTTGTACTTTGCAGTGCAAAGCTGGAAGATAGTATACACCATTTTGCATGAGCCCTGGGTTTTTAAACTAAAAAAGATTCACATATTCACTCTTTCCATTCTGTAACAAAGAATTACAAGAAGGCAACTGTGTATTTCTCATCATATTCTGATCCCCTTTTACTTCCCTCTGCTAGAGAAAAAATGATTAATTTTATCAATATTTTAAAAAAATAAAATAAAATAAAATAAAATAAAATAAAATAAAATAAAATAAAATAAAATAAAATAAAATAAAATAAAATAAAATAAAATAAAATAAAATAAAATAAAAATTAATGGCATTCCAGCCCACATAAATCTTTCTCAGAAATGAGGTCTAGACATTCCTCTTAAACTCCAGGTAGTAATCCCAGCTGCTTGTTTACCAGTACTGTAGATTCCTAAATACACCAGTCATTCTTTTAGTATGAAACTCCTAAAACTGAGTACTTTATTTATCCATCTGTGCTCAGAAATTTCCTCTCAAGGGATATTACTAAATATTACTTCCTCAGAGCTCCATTGAAAACTGCCTGTAAATCCAGCAAAGCTGAACAAATTAGAAATAGCCAAGATCACAGCAGCTGACCTACTGACTATCAGTCATGAGGCAGAGCACTCATTGAGCAAAAGAATATTTGCATGTAAACCATACGCATGAAATGATTGAATTCAATTTGCCAGCCTTCCAAAATTGGAGATGCGCAGCACAGTGAAAGACCTCCCTGCCACCTCTTCTCCCACAGCTGAGTAACTGTGTAGTTGCCAAACACAAGAGGCCAGCAGACCACACAGGACAAAAGGAAGGAGCCTGATTCTGGATCCATATGTGAGTCATCAAGGGGTTGGGAAGATCTAGAATTCCAGTCTGTATGACAGTAGAAGCCAAAATCACGCATAATACATGCACGTTATACATATGAATAGGAAAGTGAGCTGGTTGGTTTTCAAGGATCACCATCTCTGGTTTCATGAATGTGCATGATGTGGCAGGAAGCCTACACAGATGAACAAGGAGAACCTAACAAAATTCAGACTTAAAAAGGAAGGATACAAAGGGTGGAATCAGGGCCAGGTGATACAGGAGGAATATACAGACACTGGCCAAGTGTGTAGGGGAGGGGTTAGGAAACCCAAAGGCCCCTGGAGCTACACCTAATAAGGGGCATAAAGGGAAACAAGAAGGACTTCTCACAAGTCAGCAAAAAGAAGACTAGGGAAAATGTGAAAATGTGAGTCTGCTGCTGAGTTGGACAGGGGACCCTGTGACAAAGAACACAGAGAAGGCAGAAGCACTCAATGCCTTCTTCTCCTTGGTCTTTACTTGTCAGACCAGTCTTCAGGAATCCCAGGTCGCTGAGACCAGTAGTAAAGTCTAGAGCAAGGAAGACTTACCCTTGGTGGAGAAGGATCAAGTCAGGGATTGGTTGAACAAACTGGGACTACACAAATCCATGGGACCTGATGGGATGCACCCACAAGTGCTGAGGAAGCTGGCTGATGTCATTGTGAGGCCACTCTCAATTATATTTGAAAGGTCGTAGTGACTGGGGGAGGGTCCTGGGGACTGGAAGAAAGCAAATGTCCTTCTATCAAGAAATGGCAAGGAAGAGCCAAATAACAAGCCAGTCAGCCTTATCTCAATTCCTCAGAAGGTGATGAAGCAAATTCTCCTAGAAGCTATTTCAAACATATGAAGGACAAGAAGTTGATTGACAGTAGTCAGTATGGATTTATGAAGAGGAAATCATGCTTGGCCAACCCTGCAGCCTTCTATGATAGAGATATCTTGCTCCATGGATGAGGGGAGAAGAGCAGATATTGTTTATCTTAATTTTAGCAAGGCTTTTGACACTGATTACATTCTGATAGACAAACTGATTAAGTATATGCTAGATAAATGAACAGCAAAATGTGTTGCAAATCGACTAGAACTCTCTCAGAGAGTTAGGATCAGCTGCACAAATTTCAGCTGGAATTCAGTCACCAGTGGAGTGGACCAGAGTCCAATACTAAAGCCAATGCTGTTTGACCTCTTCATTAATGACCACGATGGTGGGACAGAGAAACTCTTTAGCAAGTTTGCAGATGATACAAAACTGAGAGGAGTGGCTGATACACCAGAGGGTTGTGCTGCCATTCAGAGGAATTTCAACAGGCTGGAGAAATGGGCTGGCAGGAATCTCATGAAGTTCAAAAAAAGGCAAATGCAGAATTCCTGCACCTGAAGAAGATTAATCCCCTGCACCAGCATGGGAAAGGGGCCAGCAGCTGGAAAGCAACTTTGTGGCAAGGACCTGGGATTTCTGATGGACACTAAGCTGACTATGAGGCAACAATGTGCCCTTGCAGCAAAGAAGGCCAACGGCCTCCAGGGCTGCATTAGAAAGAGCCCTGCCAGCAGGTCAATGGAAGTGATCCTTCCCCACTCATTCACATTGGTGAGACATATCTGGAGTGCTGGGTCCAGCTCTGGGCTCCCCAAACAAGAGACACGGACATACTGGAGTAGGAATAGAAAAGGGCCATGAATATGATTAATGGACTGGAGCATTTGGCATAATAAGGAAAGGGTGAGACAACTGGGACTGTTCAACCTGGGGCAGAGAAGGCTCAGGAAAGATCTTATTGATGTCTCTAAATATTGAAAGAGGGGAAAATAAAGAAAATGGAGTCAGATTCTTCTTAGGGATGACCAGTGACAGGAAAAGAGGCAAGGGACACAAAATGAAATGAAATACAGGAAATTTCATTTAAACATTTTTTTTTTTTTTTTTTTTTTTTTAAATTGTGATGGTGATCAAACACTAGAACAGGCTGCCCAGAGAGGTTATGGACTCTCCATCCTTGGAGATATTCAAAGCCCTACTGGACATGGTCCTGAGCAATCCAGTCTAGTTACCTTGCTTTAAGTAGAGGGGTTGGACTAAAGAATCTCCAGAGGTCCCTGCCAATCCCAACTATTCTGTAATTCAATAATAAAATGATACTCGTAAAGAAGAACTACAAAAAAATCATCAGAAGCCCCTTTGTTTGATAAGCACAAGAAGATGATTTGGACTTAAATTAGAGAATATAAACTAAGGCTCTATAAAATGTTTTAAACTATAATTCAAAGAAGGATTAGCATTAAAACCAAGAAACTGAACAAAACTAGGAGTGGAGAACAGAGGAAGAGCAGAAAAGGAAGCCTCTGGTATCTCTAGAGTACATCTCTAGGTACTCATACAATATGTGTACTGATCATAGAGTTTCAGGATCAAATTTGGACTATTTTGTTTTGACAGCTTATGGATCTCAACTTGCTAGAAACAGAAAATCAACAGTAACTTTAAGTCATGCTCACTTTAGCTGACACTGTAATTGACATGGTCTAGACTACTGTATAAAGAGCTATCAATAGTAAATCAGCACTTGAAGAATATGTGGAAAACATCTCCCCAAGAATATAATACTTTACAGCAAGTGGATTATAATGTTTTTTCACAAACCTTATGCAAATGATAAAAAATTATTTTTGTTTAAGCTTGAAAAGATTTATGATTTCATCAAGATACCCATAATGCCTGCCAGCTTTATATGAGTTTCTATAGCATTTGTATAGCATATACAAGGGCCAAACCTCAATAACCAGCCTAAATAGCATCCTTTGGAACCTGATACTTGATTTGCCTACATCTGCTCTATGTGGCTCACAACACTTTACCATGTATCCGGCTCAGCTGAGATGACTGAACTCCAAGCTTCTATTAATAACACACTAAAATGATATTTCCTCTCTATGGGTTCCCAAGCAGTTGTTCCATCAAAACCAGTCATATGAAATAGTTGAGGAGGTTGCTGGAAAAATAACCGAAAATTTCTGAGGTTGGATGTGGTTTTTGTCATAGACCATCTTATTTGGTTCTTCTACATTCAGGCTAAGGAGCGTGAGGTTTCTTCTGGGTCTATTCATTATTTGCTCCAAGCCTTGTCTTTCCAGCACAAAATAGAAGTAAAAAGAGGACTAGGTTAGCAGACTGTGACATTGCAGTGACAGAGTCTGTGGCCATCAATTTTAACTTTTGATGTCTCTTAGAAATATTTCACTTCATAGCGAAAGAAACCTATATGACATAATTCCACCAGCAATAGAAATCTGCATATTCTCACTACAAGTTTTCAGCATTGAACATGTATTCCCTTACCTGGTTGATGTACCAGGGATGGGACGTCCCGTGTCGACCAGGACACACCAGCAGTAGCCCGTGGAAGGATGGCACTGCACTGGTTTGTAGAGGCCACCCTGAGCACACTCTGGAATGAACACATTGTCTTTCTGGGGCTGTTTAGCTTCCTCCAGGGCTGACTGAAGCTCTTGATCACATGATGATGCTTTTGGAAGGAAAATAAAAAATACTGCAGAAACTATACGGAAAGGGCCTACTAGTTTTATCAAACACTTTTTATATCTTTTTTGATTGCATATAAGGATTGTATTCAAAGATGTTTGCTACAGCGCAAATACCAGCTACATTGGTCTTTGCTGTATACTGTTAGGAACTTTAATTTCCTTTTCATGCAGCTGCTTCATAATACAGTCCTGTATCTTGACACTCACTCCATTTTCTATACTAGATATAATCTATGGATAGTCAAATACTTTTTCTGACACCTTAAAAAAATCCTCACCTACTCCACAGTCCCTAAACTACTGATTCTCTTCAGAGAGAACTGTAAACATCCAACTTCTTAGGATTCCTTATGTGAATTATTAATCTAGATATTCATTTAGATGATTACATTCTGTTCTTTCTTTCCAGTTTTGGAACAACCTCTTAATACAGTGAAAATTCTTCCACCTTCTTTTCTGGTGATACTGGTATTGGCAATGTATCATTTGCTCTAGAAACCAAAGACCCAGATGAAAAAGTAATACATTTTTATCTCTACGTTAACAATATGTCCCAGAACTCTTCTGGATGTGAGAAAACCTTACATGTCTACACATTCCTAGCCTTTCTGTGAAACTATCAACCAGGGGGCAAAGAGCAGAAGACCCAGGGCCTGAGAATGCCAGTCAGTTTGCACCAATCAGCAAAAAAACCCCACATCTGCTGAAGCCTTTTGATAACGATTAAACTGGTATACGTGGCACTGCAGAGATAATAAATAACACAGATGATTTACTCAAGCCATTATTTCTCCAGGAACTTTAAAGTCAGTCTCTTATCATGTGAAATTTAGATGGTTAATAAAACATCATCAGCATAACGTGTAACTCCCAAATTAATCCAGTGAACAAAAAATAAATATTTGAAAAAAGAATGTTAAGCACTCTACACACATAGAGATTACTGACAGGAAAATTTCAAGTTACTAGAATTTTAATCAATAAAAGTTTCTCTTCAGTTAAAGAGAAGTCATCTGTCATTTCAGTCTTACAAAAAAAGATCTGTGGGTAATATTTTCTCTTCTTTCAATTCATTTAAAGACTAATGACACGCTCGCTGAATCTCTAGCAGGATTTATTTCTTGATTTTTTACAGTTCAACCCACAGAAGAACAAGTTGAATCCTCACAGGATTTTCTATTGCTTTTGTAACAAGTTTCAGCTTCAGTCTAATCTCATTTACTCTCATCCTCGGGGTTCTGAAAATGCTTTGCAAATTATAGGCAAAAACTGACAGAAAGTCACTAGTTACATCCAGAATGCTACTGCTCCTTGCCAGCTTCCTGCAAATGCAGATGACTAAAATCAGTGACTTCTGTTGCAGGGGAAAAGGTGGCAGGAAGTTAAACACCTTCACACTTTAAACAGCACACAATTCCATCTATACAACGGCCTGGTTTCCAAAACAGTGTGTTTTGCTCCAGTTCATGTAAAAGGTTTAAAAAATAAGCATATCAGTTGCTAACTTGATTATGAGGCACAGATGGAGTGTTTATTCAGTTCTTCAGTTGATTTTGTTTTGTTTTGTTTTTTTTTTCTTTTGTGTCATATGGTATTTGAGCAGAACAGCTAAATAAATTGATTGATTTTGCATGTTTTTGTCTTGGTCTACCCACTAACATAATCAGAGATTGAATAGCTTTCAAAGCACCAGTGTTTAGATAATAAACTGTACTTAGAGAATCAGTGTAGTGAGGACAGAAAGGCTCCTTTAAAAAAGGGAAATAGATAAATATTTGCATGTTAAAACATTCACAGAAATAGCTATGTTTTCACAAATTAGAAATCTGTCACCAAAAAGAGTAGCCAAAATAAATCTTTCCCTCAATGAATCTGATTACAATGATTATCAAGTTACAAGGTACGACAACCCTGGAAAACACATCACTTAGTTGTTCACTTTTCATGTTTTGTATATAATCAAGCAAAAAAGAGCAAACGGGGTGAAGCAGCTGCAGTGAGAGGAAATCATTACTCCTCTTTAAACTCCATGAAATTCTTCCCGCTTTCATACTGATAAACCTTGGGACCATTCCATTAGCTACTGTGACCTTGTCTCGTTTTACATCCTTGTAACTAGCAACACAATCTGGCAGATGTGCAGGTATTATTATCTCTCGCAAACCCAGAGGAGCAATGCATTTTCTTGCTCTCAGCTTTGTTTAGAAAATACATTGGTGTATAGAGACTACATAGTCAGGTCATCCAGACAGACAAAATGTAAGAGCACAGTGAGGGCGTGATGGAGAATTCCCAGTGCAGAAGCAGATACAGACTGTTTCAGCTGTGAGCATAAACCGTCACCAAATTCCTGGGAAGCTCTAGTTTCCACTGATTGAAACAACCATTGAAAGACTGCACTGCTGACTCAAAATCACTGGAGTCATGGGCCAGTGCAGTCACCTGTGTTGTGGTGATTTAGGAGAAGGTGGTACAGACCTACATAAATGGTCTTTACTCTCCAGATTGACTTTCCAAGGCAAGGTTTTCTACAAGCTGCTCCTTAAGCTAGAAATTTGTCTCTTTTACAATAGGGCAAGTTTGTTCTGGTCCTTTTTCTCCCTTATGTCTGGTTTTAAGTCTCAGAGATACAGAAAAGCAGTATTGTGGGAGAGATGTCAAAGGAAGGTTGCAAATGTGGCATTAGGAGGGACTTCCAGAAAACTTAACATTGCAAGTGAAACTGGAAATAAGACAGTTAGTGACAGTAATCAAAGGAAGGTTTAAAGATAAAAACAATGTTCTCAATGGCAGAAGTCTATGAAAAATTACAGAAAAGCAGATATTCATACCAAACACCAAGGTAAAAGTCCTGTAACTAGGAGGACTCTAGTGATGAGAAGTCTGCCTCTGAAGAGCAGCATTGGCACAGATATTCAAGACAAAAAAAATATATAAAAGAAACTATGGTATTTTCAGGAAGGACTTTCCCCTTCTTGGAACTTTTAATTTCTAACTCTCCCCCTATGGATTGTAAATTGTAACAAGAGGAATTTATCATTAGTCCTAAATTAGTTGTCAAATAAAATGTAGTTTATTTTTGACAAATTGGAAAAAATATAAATCAGCGTGATGGACACTATCTCTGTCAGTTTTCTATGTACCAAATGACTGAGACTTATTACAAGTCTGCTGAACCCAGTTCATTAATTTTATTCACCGAAAGTGCAGAACAGTATATTATTTTCCTCCATTATACAATGGCTAATGAGCTTCAGGTCAGCTATCAGGCAATCTGCTTAGTGACTGCACAAGAGAGTAATTTCTGCAGAGTCCAATGCTCTGTACACCTTTGACATGATCATTTGTGCTACCATTCTTACTTCCCTGTTTGTTTTCCTGACTAGAACACTGTTTCTACATAAAGTAGAGGAAAACTGGAAGTACTTACCTATAATCCTGCCTGATTTTCCCAGAACCAGAATATCAGTTCTCTGTGTAATTTCCTCTCTGAGGGAACCATTCATTCCCTTTCAAAATTTTCTTTCAGTTATTTAAAACATGAATAGTGGAAAGATGCAATTGTAGTCCTGTGATGACTAAGACCTCTTATCACAGAGCTACCATACCACTGCAAATAATTGCCTCTGTAATGTCAGAAGAGTCATGGACAACAAACATTCATTTGCCAGGAGAACCAGTGACAAATGTCATTAACTTAGAAAATGCCTGACAGTTTTTCCAAACAATCTGACAACAACTATGATCTGGAACCATAACAGATGGATGCCAGAAGTTCATAAAGTGGACAGTATGGAAAAGGATCTATGCCACAATAAAAGTGGAATAAATACCTTAATCATTAAAATCCATCAAACTTTCTATGAAATGTGTTACTACAATAGCATTCCTTCTGGGAAGAGAAAAGCACTGACAACGCCAGCTTCTTTTCAAGTAATATGCTTACACTGCTGTTATTTCACTTAGTTCCTTCAGTTTTGTTTTGCTGGAAAAAGGGGATGCTTTTCCAAGCATCTTAGTTCAATAAAATAGTTATATATGGCTGAAAAATCCTTTCCACATAGTCTACCATGTTACCCAGCCACACTGTAGCTCAGTTGGGATCCTTAATTTCAGGTTGATAAACCTTCCTGAAGTTTCTACCCCAAACTATATTTTATTCCAGGTTCATAATCATCCGTGATTCAACACACAAATTTTAATCATGTAAGGAAGTATACCTTTTTGCCCAGTTTTACACTAAGAGCCTTTGTACCACCCAATGACCATCTACTTACTCTGAAAAAGGAATTTCTGAATGATGAAGTAAAACTTGCTCACCACTAAGAATGAGTTTAAGAATCTGCTTTAAATGTAATGTATGTTTCTCTTCCTATGTCATATTGCTATTCCATTTCTTCCCTTTTTACTTTAAGTGTTAGTTGCTAAATATACTTTTCCTGTTCTGGTTCAAGATGCCTTCATAGTCCATTACAAACAATCAGCTAAAACGCTTCATCTTCTCTCAATGAGAAAAATACTCCAGCTAATGACAAACTCTGTGGATAAGTTTCAAATTTTGTATAAAATCTTTGGTCAATTCTTGTTGCCAATTATCCCTAAGAAAACAGTTTGGATTTCAATCAGTTAATTTACATAAACAGAAAAATACCTCAATAGTAGTATAACACCGTAAATCCCTATTTATGAAAGACTCAATTCCTTCACCTCTGTTGAGTTACTTAAACTGTTAATTATTGTTTACTAGGTGATGTCCTAGAGAAGAAAAGAGGTGGGTTTTCTGGAAAAATCATGAACAAACTGTGTAACTGTGCATTTGTCTGTAGCACATCTGAAACACCAAGCACCATATTATATAAGTTATAATAATCACCTTGTTGGTCTTGTAACAGGAGATGTTTAGCTCCTTGTTTCAGAAATTCTGGCAGATGTGCTGTGTCTTATCAGAGCTTCTCCAAACATATAGAATTTCATGATTACA